AATTACTGAAACTTGGGAAACTAATGTTAAATAAATGGATCATCAGTATTCACTTTTTCCTATTTGAGAAATTGGGAGATAAAAACGAGTATTCTGCCTAAACTAAGCCGAAAATGATTAGCTGCGTTTGTTCAATACCAGGCGTACCTGGATCTTACATCAATGATATCAAATCCTGAACAATCTTGCAACACCATCTCCTGTTCTTTCTTAGGCAGAGCAGGCAGAGCATTCTAGGATCAAATCATCATCAACTAGGTAGGCATTTCATATTGATCAAACAAATGGTCTGAGCGACGAGGTATAAATTCCAACGACCATTCTCATGGCAAACACCAACCACATCCGTTCGTTCCATCGTCTTTACACACAACCATCAAAACGACAAAAAGTGAAAAGATTCTCCAAGCCTTCAACAATGCCAGATTATCCAGGTCTCGGCCTTCCCCTGCGCCATGATCCACAAAGCCTTTCCGACGACAAAAGTCATTATCCAATTGGTGCCCATCACGGCTGTTGGGGTGCGACGTCCAACTTAATTTATGTCCGAGAGCTGGCCATGATGAGCATCATGGATCGTCTCACGGAGAAGGAAGATTGGCACAAGAAAGTCTTCAACGAGGAAATCGTGTCTAAGTGGCGTGCAGAAGCTCTAGCTATTCCAGACGAACAATTTTGGATGATAGCAATTCGTGATAAGCAACAAGATCGGAGCTACGACGGCACTATTCACTCGAATCATGATAGACTTGACAGACAGCTAGAGGGAATCATGAACACCAGTACTTTTGATTGTGTAAGTGCCTCTCCGCACAATGTCTTCTGTGACTAACCTGATATTGAAAAGTGTATCGAAGAACTTCGAAGTAAGGCCAAATATTATGAGAAAACCAGTGTCATTCCAACTCTTGACGCCTGCGCGTCTGTTGCCAAATCGGATCGTTTGGTCTCTGCTGAGCTCCATAAATCTCTGCGCGACGCGTTTGATACGCTCAAAAGGGATCAATCCTCATCACTCGACTGGCATCCAAACTCGAGTGAAATGGTTCAAGACCTTGTACATCCTTCAATGTACCCTTTAGTCTACGGTCGTAGTCGAGTCATAAAAGATGAAGTCGTTGGAGTCAATGATGCCGTTGAAAAATGGGCAGGAAAAGGTGAAATCATCCCATTGGGAGGGGCAAGCGTCACCACTAAGGGATATCAAAGTCGGGGCGCAGGAATAAAACATTATTGGTCAGACAAGTATCAATGGTTGCCCGCAAATATAGCTTTCCAAGAAGATGGAACAGTCAAATTTACCAGTTACATCAACAACATTCATCCAACCAAGTACCCTGAGATTTACAGGACAATTGAAAAGTTGGTCGAGACTACTCTTCCCTTATGGAATCAATGTCTTGCTCTTAATACAAACTATGATAAAAATCATGGTGCGGGAAGAATAGAGCCTCGATTCCCGTACCCTGATGACCGGGAGTAGGTGTTTCCCCCAATCCTTTCGGGATAAGTATCTTAATTCTGACTTGATTCCAGTGACGAAAATCCGGAGCTATGGAATCCTCCGTGCGCTGGGCAAGGAGTTGGCGAAAAGGAATCTGATTTCGGCAGTGGCAATGAAGATGAAATAGATATCGAAGGTATTGACAATGAAATAGAAGAGGAAGAAGCTGAAGAAAAATGGAGGGAGACACGCAAGCCCGTCATTCCAGAGCCTCTTTTCGAAGATGTTGATTATTCAATCAAGCTTCGCCTTGAACATCAATTTCAAGAGTCCGGTCTCCAAATCATCATTAAGATGGCATCTATTGAACTTACTCCGGAAAAGCCTGAATTTCCGGCGGGGAGCTGGCATGTGAGTGAAACTGTCGTATCCAAAAAGAGTCTAACGCTAACATAAGTCAAGATTGAGGGACAAATGAATGAGCACATTGCCGGTACTGCGCTCTACTATCTTGATAGTGAGAATATCACTTCAAATGATCTCTCATTCCGTATGCAGACACCAGAGCAAATTGACGACGAACTCGGAACTGGACAAGATGCCTACTATTGGCTAGAGCAGGTTTTTGGAACAAATCTGGGGCAAGGTAACTCCCCGTGTCTTCAAAATTATGGTAGTGTCGAAACACGTCAGGGAAGATTACTTGCTTTTCCTAACGTTTTGTAAGTAGATGGCTTGGTTCTTTAAATATTGGGTGCTAACGCATGAAAAAGTCAACACAAAGTTTCTTCTTTTCGCTTAGAAGATCCGACCAAACCAGGCCATCGACGATTCATCGCCCTATGGCTCGTAGATCCAACCTTGCGTGTCATTTCCACCGCCAACGTTCCACCGCAACGATTGGATTGGTGGGTCGACTCTCTATTTGGAAATACCCCCGAGGCTCGTAAAGTAGCTTTGTCGAAGCTTCCTGCGGAGTTAGTAATGCTCTTGAATGAGAATGGCTTGAATGCGGATACTTCGGCAAAAGATATGAAATTATCCCCGGAGTTGATGGAAATGGTGCGAGAGCACTTTAATACCGGTGGTAATCCATTACTTATGGGGACTGAAGAGGCTAAAGAGCATAGACTCAAACTAATGGAAGAACGTGGCGCCTTTGTGAGAACGGCTGGACAGGAATGGCATGATTCAGGTTATAATTTCTGTGAGCATTGAGTTGATTGTACATTTCGCGTCGTGTCGATCTGGAAGAAACCATTTCGCTTCAGTTGAAATCCGCATTTCATGGCCTAGTAATTAAGTTTAGAGAGGCAGGTTGTAATGGAAGGTATGGATGGGGTTGAAACAAAAACTTTGGCTCTTTGATTTGGAGTACGATTCCCTCGGTTAGTTTTGAAGATTTGGCGGGTTGTTAAAATCATTCCCAACTTTTTAATAGCATGAGTTTCCATTCGAAGAAGACCTATTTAATTTCAGATATTGACAAAAATTTACATGCACAAATTCTTTCAGTGTCGGGGCATGCATGTGTAATGTTTCATGTAAGTGCTCACTTTCGTTTTACACTATCTTAACAACGTCTCGATACGTTGATTGTTCTATTGACAGTCTCGACTCCGCCACTACGTCCCAGGAAAAAAAAAAGACGCCGGGTGAAAAGATTTTTGATCCCTTTCTAATTCTCATCTTCTTTCGCTGGAGCAATACAAGAATATGATGACGATAAAAATGCGGCACTCCTAGACAACTTGCACGATAGAACGTCACTGGTGGAATTTGTGTGCAATATTTTGAGAGACGTATAAATGATAAGGTTTGCTTCGTAGCTTGCCAAGTGGCTGAGATTGGGAAGTGAATTAGGAACAGCGGAATGGAGTGAGGGGAGCAGGACTAGAGATTTCTCCGGTGACGCGAATAGTCGCTTTCTATAGTTTGATTGACCTTTCACTGATCAGAGATCAAGTAGGATTAAATTCAGTGGTGTCAAGAATAGTCCGCAGTAATACGATCAACCTCTTCTTGATATCTTAGTAGTATAAATTCAATACCCCCCCCTCCTTTTCCCTCCTCCTTAGGTATTGCGTATGGAGACGTCAACGTCAACGTTGGCAGTCAGGAGATCTTGACCCCCAAGAATCAACCTTATGCTCTGTTGAGGAATATTCTCGCATATGCTTGCGGAATAGTGTGACCACAAATTTTTCAGGAAATGTTAATTTGGAAGCCTTTGATATGATGGTAAATGATATGCGGCCACGATGCGAATACTTTCAACCAGTTATGAACGGAGATGGAGATGATAGTGGCATGTATATATGACAGCAGGAACTTCATTAACTCCACAATCTTCAGGATTTCTTGGTGTGAAGATTGATGGGATATGAATTTTGTATGAAATACTCAACGTACCACAATTTCAGTCGGATTTCGGAACTCAGTCTGCTTGCCCTTTTGGTGATGATACTACAGCATTATGCGTTGGTGTTGTGGGAATGATTACTTAGACAGGTGATTTATATACTCCATATGCGAAATCAGAACTAAAAATGAGTCACGGTTTTATCTTGGACTAAGAAGCGCTCGATAATCATTTTCTAGAGTCTAGACCGATTGCTGTTTAATTTGAGTTTTGAAACGGTAAAGTTTATGAATCCAGTGATCAAAAGACTTTGAATTCTAATACACTACAGGAAATTTGACCCGATCCCGGATGCCGCGATCTGGTACTTTTGGAGGACCACTCTAGATCAGGTTTTGCTACGGCACGACAGACGAATTTAATATTATTGGTTAGCAGAGAAATAAGAATTAAAACCACGGAGGCCAGATCGATTGCTAGGATCTCGCTAAGAATGAACAGTGAAAGTGTGACTGCACATCAATCATCTGTATTGAATACCGAATTCTTCGATTCTCAAACTCAAGGAAACCACAAGATAACTTTAGTGTTAGCCTTCAGTTGTGTGATTGACTTTAATAGAAGTTCACTGCTCCGTCGAGATTACGACCGATGTATAAAATCAACCACTTTGCTATTCTTTTCTCTGTCTGTCATCTGCAAATAGCTGTGCTATAGTGCCTCACATGCTGGGGACGTTCCGAGAAAGTACGTCTTGTCTTGCTTGTTCGAGGAACTTAGGGACAATTATTTCATAATTGAGCTTCGAGTCCCATGGATGATTCAAGGCTATATGTGAAGTGGCGGTTGTCAATGAGGATTTTTTGTGGACCTTGTCAATGGCATTGGAGATTTGTAATTGCCGTCAATGGGTGAAAAAGGTCGCATCTTGGCAGTAGATTATTTGATTCACTTTCACCGAAAACACTCGCTGTCAATCTTGATTGGCGTTAATCACCATTTTGAGAAACTTAAAGTCCCATACACTTGCAAAACGGAACGATTAAGGACTGAATAGAGGTCGATCACTAAGAGGAGAACTCAACGGTAGAAGAGACGCGAAATTGGAGATGTATGTGAATTTGTTACTGAATGCTGTAGTGTAAAGATGGCATGTTATCAATCTAACAAAAAGGATTTTCTATCGATCCTAAATCATCTAATCTCAAAAATTTGGGAGGTCACTTCCCTACACTCCAAAGCCTTCCCAATCTCTCCGTTCATAAGACCATGTGCGTAACATTGACCTACCACAGTCCAATAATCACCATGTGGTCTCAAAATATAAGGTACAGGTGACCCGTACAAAACGCACAGGCTATCGCCCTTCTCTACCTGTTGGTGTCCCAATCCAATATGTCCCTTTGAAGTGATAAAGAGCCTCCGGTTTCTGATCGCTTCTTCAAGATACTTGTCAAACATTCTACTTTCCCGAAGCACAGACATTCGCTCGATTTCTGTTGGTGTTGGCTTGCCCATGTCTTCATTGTATTCGGGAACATGATCGTCTTGGAACCTTTCAAGGGTATCTGATTTAGATAGAACCTTATTCATTAGCATGGTGCGACAATATGCTTCCGTCAAAGTACCCCCTGCCACGTAAGATTCCTGGTGCTTCATTGATCCTCTCGCTTGACGTAAATTCAAGATAGAAGTTTGCCAATCATCTGTTTCTAAGGTCCCCTCACTCCAGCCACCTAAAGTTTTATCGCAAATCGGTCCAAAATGATATGGCCATGAAGAATTCGCGCTACAGATTCTTGTCTTCCAAGAATCCCACACATCCATAATTGTACCAGAGTCAGCTGGTGCAGATGTTGCTAGATGGTCGCATCGGAATCTTCGGACCATAATATCCTCCCACTGACTTAGAATTTCGAAATGCGAGTGCGTATTTGCGTCCATGACTTGACCGCATGTGTCGATATCACTTACTAGCACACCTCTGGCGCTCATAACGCGATCATTGTCATGAAATCTCAAATCTGGGGTCAGATTGGTTGCAGCTTTGTAGCAATATGCATCGTTGTCGTATATTGTAAGCGGTCTAACCCCAAAAGAATGCTTTGATATGATATCTAAATCTGTGGCCCAGGACTGTGAGTCATTGCTGGAGGTATCTTGATCTCCGCTGAAGACGCCCAGATAATTAAAATCGCCACTACTAAGTAGATGCTTCGCAGCTTGAGTGTAGACCTGGGTTTTCGATAATGTGTAGTCTGGTATGATATCGCAACTATCTGCAAGTCCAAGCAGCTCATAGATCCTGTCGCGAGGATCTGTGACTGAGATGTGAGGGCCAATTATTTCCAAAACGTCACTGAGTACAAGTGACTTATTTGTAACAACATTGACTCTAGAATGAACAAGTCCCTTGATACCATATGAATATTCATTAATCCAGTGATCTTCGCCACTTGCCACAGCATAATGAGTTCCACAAGACGAAGCATAACGAATGGCGAAAATCAAATCATCAAATGAGATTAAATGCGAGCCACAATGAACAATGGGATTCTTCGCAAGAGCAACTTCTTGGATAATCCATAATCTGCACCAGTAAGAATTTTTCAATGGTGTCCAGAACTCGCATTTCAATGCGTCTCGCCACTTATTTTTGTTCTCCAAATCTAGGTGAGGCGATTCCGTTTCGCCACGTTCCACGCTTTGAAACCAACCAGCGAGTAATTTCAAGGCAGCAAAATGGTTCGAAGTGCTAGAAACAGCACTCTCAGTTTCCACATGAGGACGCTCATCATCCCACATTCCTCTGTTTGAAAGTTTTGGCGGACCAAGCCATATTATCACATCTTTAGCGTCCTTATAAATGCGACGCATTTGTTGTACCTGAATACCCCGCTCTGGAACATCTTCTTGGTTAATACAAACTGCGTCGACCCATAGAACGCGAGGGACTTCGGTATCTCGAAGATATCTCAATGCGCTTTCTAAGTTTGTGGTCGCCATAAATACATGGCCATCGACTATGATCGGAGCACGAATTGATGGATCTCCCCAAGTATAGGAAAGTGCTTGGTATGTAGGATTGTCATCAAGTAGACATGGAGATAAAGTACAGTGAATAGGATCGTCGAAGGTGCCCGGCTCTATTCCAAGAACTCTGATCTCACCATCTTTTAGCGGATGATATAGTTCTGTTGTAGATGATATATTGTTGTAGGCTATCTTGCAGTAAGCGGTTTGTACAGAGATACCATTGCAAGAGACCTTAGCTATGTGCTTTTGGCACTTTGAACTTACTCGATTGAAGAACGTTCAGAACGTGAAGTAGAATTAGTGACGGTGATACTACAATGTCAAATATCTGCCTTGTAGATTTATGAGCTGAAAAATAAAATAAAAACGTCAAAAGGATCTGCACGCTCATAAGCTATACCAGTGCAGTCGCACCTTTCAAATTCGTAAACCTCCGAGTAAGCCCCCATCTATGCAAACCTTGGAACCCTTACATCTGACTGCCCCGCATTACACGTGCATTTACACCACAAGAAGACAGCGCTTAGTGGCTCGTCTCCTTAATGTTTCTTGAGATGCCGGGCATGAACAAACTCCCGGCAAGACTGAGGCTTGAAGATTTGCGTTTCTGGAAAGATACCGAATTTTGAGCTTTAGCACTACTTCTTGCCAGTCTATGTATAAATATAGAGCGAGTTATCAGTAGTGATTACTGGATAAGTTGTTGAGTACTCAATAAGGTAGAATGATACTAATGATCAACATCACAGGTCAATTTGATCCACGAAAATACCCATTTTCGATCACAATTCACTGCACCGCCGCGAAAACCCCTACAACAATTCCCTCTGCAACACATCCATTCCTTTGCTTTACAAATCACTCTCCTCTACCCATTCACGCAAGTACAATCTCCTTCCAACTCGGCCCCTCCCCCTGCCATCCCTCAACGCTCACCCACCCCACCGCAACCCTCATCGCTACCCCCTCCTCTTCATCCCACACAATCCACATAACACACTTCATCCTTCTGCCTTCCCTCTCCTTCACCATATCCATGAATTCTCTCGAAAACGTACCTCTCGAACTGTGCTCATTCATCCACATCAAGTTCTGTACCGACGAGGTCCCAAAATCGATTTCAAACAGGGAGATAAGTTCAATTTGTATAGTCGTACTCGTGGAATCTGACGAAACGTGAGACTCGAGAAAATTATTCAAAGTGGCGGAATCGATTTTCAGTTCTCCGATCATTTGATCCTCTCCAAGAGAAGAAATGGTGAAGAATCTCAAGTCCTTGTGTCTCGCTAGCGGCGGTCGTAAGATTTCAATCATATCGATTTGACAAGTGATAGAATATGTTTGGAACAACAAGATGCTCGGTCCAATAAAGTTACTTGACATGATTTTCCAGGTTCTCGTGTCCAGGTCTCCCTCTACGTCAAGTAGAGCCCTAAATTTGGGTTTCGGAGATCTTGATCCTGGTGTGGCCGAATAAGAACGTGTATACCATGAAGTCATAATTTGATGCGATTGTGATGGTGAGGTATGCACTTTGATTGTGGGGACGACCTGTTTATACCTGTTCTCTTGCCTTATTTTTATTTCACCATCTGCGCTGGAGATTGGCTTATAAGCTTCATAGATAGCCCACCTCACTTCCCCCTTTACCCCACACTTTTCTGGACTTGCGAGAAATGGATACTCAATCTGGCCCTTCCAACCCGCCCACGACCAAGTCGGAAATGGAAAGTTTCCAGAGCTCAAATCTTGAGATTCTCTACGCGTAAGATTTCCCTCCGGTTGCCAAGCCAGGGCAAACTCAAAACAAATAGCCGGTATTCCACATACCGAGCCCCCTAGACCTTTCAAAAGAAGACCAGTGTAGAAACCCCGACAAGCATTTAAACAATCGCTTTCTTGCGTAAATTGTCTCGCAGACATTTTCGATACCATTGCCATGTAATTTTCGAACGGATCCAATTTATTCCGAAAATCGAAGCCCGTTTTGAGACTTTCATCATAGAATATGTTCTCAATCTCATCCGTATCCCCATTTTCGTTGATATCTAGAATCAACAGAGGAAAATCCTCACTCCAACTGCCTTCCTCGCATGAATAATAGGTTCTTTCCGTTGTGAAATAAAGAATTCGTTTTGAAAATACTAATTCCTGAAATGTCCACCCCCGGGTGAACCATGTTGAAAACTCTATCACATCACGAAGTTCCATTGAGTTGACTGTGAATCTGATGTTGTTAATCAAGTGAGTTTCTGCGTCAGTGAAAATTGGATCGATATCCAGTAGTCCGGAATTCGCACCATCGCCCGTAGCTGCTACGATTGTCATTTCCGCTTGTGCGTAGATAATATGCATTCGATTAATCTCATGCATTTTGCTTTCTAGATCATCTTGCACTATACAGAGGGCGTCGACCCACAAGTACCGTATTCCAAAGCGTCCAGTAATTTCAATTGCATCTAGGATCGTTTGCGGTATACTTTGGGTTGTAAGAGAACCTGGCGTGGAGAACTCATTCTCATTTCTCTTCTCGAGAAGAAGAAATGGTGGACGCCCCCACACATAACTCAGAATGAAATACTTTGGAACCTCCTGAATCCCCATTTTCACAATCTTCATATCCGCGATATCGATCAATCTACTTGGTCCAAAACCTGAACATAAGGTCCTGGTCGTTTGCGTTTCTCGGCATTTCTCATGACTTTGTAAACAAGAATTAAAACAGTCTGAGAACATACCCAGATCTCTTTCAGTGCTTATCCTACCACTCGGTAAAGGAATCCAGGGTTTTTTCACACCGGTGAATACAGTTTCGTGATCAGCGGCGAGCATTGGAAGTTGGGTAGGTTCATCATTGATATCATCCGCTGTATTTTCGGGCCACCAAATCGATAAAATCCCATCACTCATAATTGTATTGAGAGAAAGCTGAATGGATTCCGAGAACGGATCAATGATACACTCTACCCCATCCCCACTTTCGGTGAGCTCCTCTGTATAAGCCAATTCAAGGAGCCCAGTCAGAGTCAATCCATGAAGATCTATCCCCTTTGATCTTGCATTCATATAAATATCTCTTCGTTTCATCCGCAAAAATTGTCTCGTGAGTAAAGAACAAAAAGAACAATTTTGCTGGGCAAATATTTCATTCAAACTACCCAAATGCATATTATCTGAAGCATCCCGGGCGCTCACACCGAATTCGAATTTCTGAGCTACGTCATCATTATAACATACGTCTTTTAATCGCTCGGCTACTATTACACAATGGCTGCAGAGCGCACTAACACCATCACCAGGGGAGTTTTGAGGGCCATCTTTGAGAGATCGCTTCGAAATGGCGTTTTCGAGATGTCGCAAGGCAAGTTTATAGGTCTCAATACTTGGGTTTCGATCGCCGTTAGGAATGGAGAGTGTTAATTCCATCGTCCTTTGACCCCTATCTCTGGGCTTTAGACTTGTGGAAGTAAAAACATGCTATATAATAAAGATACGAGTTCGCGCAATTGAAGCATAGCGAGCTATGAAAACCTTAGATCTCGAAGTAATCACGAGAATTGAAAAGGCCAAATGAATAATATCTTCAAAGTGATGTTTTGGAACAAGCTTCTCAGCTGACATGATTTAGAAAATTGCATCGCCACAGGGTCTTTAGCCAATAGACAACCAACCGCCAATGATTAGCAAATCCAATGCTTACATACAGCTTGGCGTTTTAAGAAATAGGAAGAAACGTCAATTTTTACAGAAAACACTAATTAATGAACAGTAAAAATGGTTGAGAGTTCAAAAAAGTAATTATTACCTTGGACTTCCAAGTGTAGCAATGGAAATACAGAATTAAATTATAATTATGGAAACAAACAGATGGGGTCCATCAATTTCTATATGCTATTCTATGTTTTCTATTCACTATCTATCTGTATTCAAATACCTACTACCTATGCATTACTCCAACTCCCCCTATGACAATCGCTTACCAAATGCAATATGTCCCAAATTCTTTGTTATGTTTGATTTTCGAATATATAGGTATCGTAGCTCATTATGTTTGAGTCTCGCTCACATTGATAGTTGGAAACAGTTCCCCCATCCTCATCTTCAATGAATTCAAATTTTACACTCATTTCCTTAGGTTCCCCGTTGCCCCACGCACCTCGTCTAACATTCCAAGACCTTAATCCTCTCTGCCAACCCCTCAGGTAGTTCCTCCTTCTTCATAATACCCAATCCAACGACATCTCCCCAGAAGAAAAGGGCTCTACTTTGCGCATACCCCAGATAATCGAATTCATCTTCTTCCTCCTCGACCTGTTCTTCTATCTTGATTTCCCTCTCATCTTCCATTTTCATCTTCATATCCTCAGGATTCGCATGTTCAAGAATCCCATCCTGAGGCCCGTCAATTTCATCCGGCGTCACAACAAACGGCGGCGCATCATCCAACTCTGGCACTTTAGCTTGTACAATTCCCCATGCAACCCATTGCGCACTATTGGCCAATCTCCAAATCCGAATTTCTTTTAACATCTCTTCCACTTGCTTATCTGTTTCCTGCTCTCTCCTTGCTTCTTCTTCTGCATATAGACTTGTACTACCGGATGGAGTATCCTTCTCGCCACCTGGCGTTCGACTATCCAACATGAATTCTTTGATACTACCTGGTGGTGCATCTTTGCCTTCCATTTTTGGAGTTAGGTTAGCGTGAGGATTGAAATGAGGACGATGGTTGAGATATGCTCTGACGAATCTCTTCTGCTCTGCGACTGTTGGATAGTTCCTGGTATCACAAGTCCAGGTCATGGGAGCAGGCGCATGGTAATTATAACACCATTCTGTGAAATGATTGGCAAATTCTAAGCCAGGAGTATTTGCACTTGCGTATTCAAAATCGATTACTACCAGTTGTTTGTGGTGATTCATTGGAAGGAGGAGAGGGGAGGGCGCTGATCCATTGACAGGTGGCTCGGGTACTAAGCGTAAAATATTGCCATATTGTGTCTAGAATTCGGGATTAGTTCGGAATCGCAAAGATTAAAGTGAGGAACATACATCGTTATGAGCAAATACCAATCTACGACTTAGCCCTTCTTTTCCCCCATAACTCTCCTCTAACCACTGTCTGTATTTTTCAACAGCAGTTCTGAATACAGGCCATTCAACACCACAAACTAATCCTCTATCTCTCCAACTTTCGCCTCTAATACTTTTACTAGAATCTCCTTCCAGAATTTGCTTGTCAAGATACGTGATAATCTTCTCACATCTATCAACCCATTTATCCCAATTCTTGAACACAAATGGACCATCATCTCTCTCTTCTTGAAGTAATTCAACACCATCGTGCAATTCTCTCATACGTTTCGCGATTTTCTTGCTAGTTTCAGGAATTCTGAGATCTTGAGCTGTGAGAGTCTGAGCATTGAAGAATTCTTCAAATCGACCATTTCTGAAAGTTCCTAACATTCTAGGTCCAATCTTCTTTCTAGCCAATCTTCTCAAAATACTCAATTCCGCTTCTCTATCAATTAAATGCTCAACTTGAGGACCATAAATTCGAAGCAATAACTTTGGAGGAGATTTTTGACTCTTGGTTGAAAGATTCGTACTGCTCGCAGAAGGTGGTAAGTCTGCAGGCGGAGTAACAACATAAACTGCGTTTGTGAGAGCACCACTCAATCGTTCCACTTCAATCTCATGACCTCGATCTAATGGGACTCTTCTCCACCCTTTCAATCTAAGTGTATGCGCCAATCTCACAATTTCATTCTTGAACTGGATCCATGCTTTTCTTTCCTTTTCCGCACGTTTCGCATTGCTTAAAGTGGTTGTTTCCATAGAGGATCCAGCGCCACCACTATATGCAAGCGTTTTCGAGTTATCAAGAATTACGTCACAAGATGGAACCACAATATCTCCTTCATGATATTCGGTATCAGATGATGGAGAAGGTTTCAGCGAAGGACGAACGAGGGATCGTTTTCTCGATTGTCGTTTAGGGGAAGTAAGGTGCGGGAGTTGATTGTGACCAAAATCTAACATATTATCCTCCAAAATCCTTTGCAATTTTTCTAGAGAAAGAGCGCTTGAAGTGGAACTATCAGACATTGTTCTGGGTCTTGACGTTGTTTCTCTGTTAGGCAAATTCTCGGCCTGAGCCTCGCTCTCCTTAGCGTCCCTTTTGTTTGCTTTTCGGGAAGTTCTCTTCGCCTTTTCTGAGTGCAGCCATTCTGCAACTTGAGAAAGAAGTTTATCGCGGTGATGATGATGCTTTGATTCATCATTGGATCTTGAGGCTTCCGGGGAAGGGACATCTCGACTTGGTTCTTCTACGCTGTTCTGACTTCGGACAGATAGTTTAGAGGAACTGGCAGAAGGCATGTTTGGTCGACCCGTCATTCTTTTTGCAACACCGGCACTGAAATGTTTTATTCTTGAAGATTCGTCGGTAGGAGGAAGTTCGAATTCTTGTATGTCTTCTGGTTCTGGCTCGGCAATTGAGACGACTGAGAAGTTAAAAGATAAGAGGTTAGCGAAACGCCAGGGTCAATGAAAGTATTGAATAATTATGAGAAATAATTGCAATTGCTAACCTTTGGTTGGTCCACTCTTGGGGCTATGAATGTCATCTGTATCTGCTCTCAATGCTGGCCTGCGAGGCACCGTCGGACGATTGACATCTGGTGGTGAGTTCATTTTGATGGATGATGGATGTTGATGGGAATATTGTGAAATCAATCAAATCTCCGATTCGTGTAAGGGAGGATTATGATTATTTGAAGTTCGGCGCTTTGAATCGCTCGTCGATCAATATCTCCAAGTCCAAAGCTCTCGCTCTCTCATATGTACTTCGTATTGTGGGATTAAGCACTACCCCACCTTCGAGGAGCTGAATGTCACTCTTAGCTGTTGCGGATGTGGATCGCAGAAGATTCTTGATTGTTTCCTAACCGTATTGGTCTTCTTTTGCTTCTCTCGATGTGGGTTTGGCTGATGCAAAGAAAGAGATGGAAGGGAGGGAGGTGAAGTGTGAGAATTATCAGTTGTTGCAGTAGCAGATATCTGTGGTAGGAAATTTACCTCTACTACTCGAGTAGTACGCCGTACGAGTAGAGAGAAATATCAAAGTGAAGTCAAGAATGGAAATGATCCAATCAATCCAATCCATCACTCAAAACAGGTATCCAGGGAATTGGTATCTACCAGTAATTACCATGTTTATTTTCAAGGGTCCAAACCCCGCCACCACATGTGATTTTCCATTCAACCAATGAAATCTCAAGCGCATCAAAATAAACTGGATGTGCACGTGCACGTGCGTACGATCTCTCTTTCATGCGTCATTCTTACATGCATTTGCATCTATCCATCCCCTTTCGTATCACAATCAAAAAACATACAACACATACAACACATTCAACGGATATCGATGGTGTGTGAAGAGTATCATTCTTCAGATGGCCTGTCAGTAAGAGATATGCATCACCGCGCAAGACTTGGTTTCATATCAGCTCCCATCTAACCCAGATACATATCATTCATTATAGACAGTGATGCTGCTCACAAGCATGGGGGCTCATTGTGCCACAAACGATTCAACCGTTACTCAAATACGAGCATATCAATCTCCTTTCATCGGGTTATCTTCCCACTGAAATCCTTTTCTACCGGTATCATGACGAGAAATTTGACGTCAAGTTCATCATAGAAGAGCAAGTGCGAGGAATAGGAGCAGCGCAACTGGCCGGATTGAAGATGGCACCTAAACTGCAAATTGTGACGGTTCTGATGAAAGTCCATTTGGATACGTAGCAAGTTCCGCTCAAATGAAATGCTTTACCCAAAACAACTGATGATTATCATGGCATCGAGATTGTCGGATGGTATGGAAGCGTCTTGTTACTCGCCTTGTCCAGTTTTCAGTCAGTCTGGGAAAAGGCATAGATATACTTTCCGTTGAGATGGACATCTACAGCTTCAATCGTTGTTTGTGAGGTCAGTATTTTGATTTGCGGTATGTTCTTCTTTCCGTGCACTTTATGGCATTCAGTTTATCAACAACCAGGTTCAACAAATGAGCGCTAAATATCTTATTTAGGTGTTGCTCGAGACGAAACCACATTTATTGTTGGCTGTGCGCTAGTTGGTCTAGCAGGTGGCAGTATCTATTTCGGCTCATTCACCGTAATTCCGTCTATTGCAGTTCCTGACACAAGAGATGCATGTGCTGGACTTGCTGGTGCTGTGTGGGGTGTTGCTAGTGTGATTGGCCTTTTGGTAGAAGGACGATACATGTCACACGCATTTTGGCGATGGTGTATGTTAGATATTTCTGAATTTCAAAGGCCTGGGGATAACTCATCTTGCCTAGGCTTTGATATAAATCTTCCTTTTGGTGGAGCCCTAACAGTAATAATTGCCTTTTTTTTTATTGCACTGATGTAGCAAAGCCAGTGAAAGCAATATCTCGCGGATAGATTCCTGATACGAGTATAATCGGAATCATTATGATCATGTGTTTTGCTATATGCCACCTACCTGCTTTTCAGAAGGCTGGAACCATGTACCTCTGGAAGTCGTCCTTGGGAACCGGGCTTCTCGTCGGCTCGATTCTTCTCTCCATAATCTTTATGATTGTACGGATATGGCTTGGGAAACGTACGATGTTAGTCAATCGTTTGTTGAAAGAAATATCGGTTTATGGCGGCATGGCTTTCATGTGCTTAGTGGTGCTCCGAGTCTTATCCTTGCCGCGATCCGTTATATCCAAGACATCGGTACCTACAGCTCAGAGTAGGTCGAATATCAACCTCTTGTGGACGTAGGCTATGGCTTCGGTATTCAAGTGTCCACAATTGCAGTGCAGGCTTTGGTGGTTCCAAAGGATATGTCATCTGCAATAGCAATGATTCTTTTCGCACGAACCCTATGGAAGACTTTACGATTGAATCTGCATTTGCTAAAACTCTGATCAAAAGCCTTGCAGTCTATGACTCAATTGTGTCACAAATGAAGGCTGTCTCAACTGGTGCCACGGAATTGAGGAAGGTCTTCACTTCTGAACAATTACCAGACATTTTCAGATCTTACATGGTCGTCTTGAAGAAGGCCTACATCATTGGAATTGCAGTGGTAGGTATGATGTTCTTTGTGGTCTTCAGTAATAAATGCCACAACTTGAAGGGAATTACTACTGCTAAGACTGCAAAGGAGAAAGGAGAAATTGAGAATGAGAATAGCGAATTTGAGGAGAGACGGGAAGTTTAAAAGTGACTGGTATCGTTGGTAGGATCGTGCTACTTTACAATGCACACTGATCATATTTTTGTTGAAATTCATTACGAAACTCTGTACTTTGAACTTCGGGTAGGGTAGGACTTCGTGGAAGCTTCGGCATTCCGTTGTACCGAAGTTGATCCATATTTGTCCACTTTGGCAACGGAGATCAGTATCTTTGACTTCAGCGAACTAAACAATCTTCAATTGCCGCGTGTTTTATTTGCTCGCTTTTTTCGTGATTCCTCATTGAAAAGCCCTCGCATGCTGGGCTTCATTTTCCAAGCATCTGCCGGGAACTATAGACTGATGGGCTGATGTTCTTATCATTTCCTTGGGACTCTCAAACAAAATTGAGATAGTCACGTTGTGATGATCTATCCCCTAGAGTGCCAGAGATGGGCTCCGTCGCTTAACAGGGATCTTATCAACCAATTAAACCATTAGGATTTCTTGAATTTGATTCAATATTCACATTCATTTCTTAATATAAAATTCAATCAATATTATTTCTATATCAAAGTTTCAAGTATTATTATATATACTAATTCTCAATCTTCATTCTTTTTTCAAATTATAAAAAATCGAGATTTGAAATCAAGATTCTATATTATAAATAGCGTGACTAAAAAACCATTAAAATATTCATTCTGTCCAATAACGCTTTATCATTCAAGGGATGTCGCACGGACCACTTTCGGAGCCCATCTCTGGCACTCTAGGGGATAAAGCATTCCTCGGAACAAAATCCTCATTGAGCAAAGTTGCCAAGATCATACGGAAAAATAATTCTACATACATGGTGCGAAGGTACCACCACATGCTCGTATAATCCACTTCTTGTACGCATAAGCAAGAATAAATTAAATATTGAAGAAATTCTTGATTCTAAGATCCTTCTGTGTTGATGCGGGGAACCTTGTACTTGCATTTGGCCTCGGTTGGTGACCGTTTTGGCAAACATTGCTTGGCGATTTCTGTATTACACGACCTGAATGAGATCAAAGACCATTCATTGAATTTATTTTGGGCCTCAGACATGTGAAATATGCAATGTAGGGCTCGTATATGTTCGTACCTACGCTCTGTTCGCACTTTGATGGATGGGCTCTGAGATTTTAGAACGATATGTCAATTTAGCCTCACCCCGCATCCCCACACTTTCATACCTTTCAGTCACACTTGTTTCCGTAATGGGAATACACCCGTTTGTACACGCACATAGGTACCAGGGGTTCAATTTCACAACAGGAAATGATCTCTCACACGACCTCAGGACCCGACTAATCCAAGACCACTATTAAACTTTCCCATCCACTCTAGAGTTCAATTTTAGAATATTGACCAATCTATTTCGAACTTGGCCAGCTTATTCTTTTGGCGCCGGTAAATGGAAAACTTTGCGTTCCATCAAGTAAGGCACCATTCTTATGGCCAGTTGGCGGTGGATGCGAGATGTCAAGCTACGAGAGATTAAGTGATAAGAGAAGGGTCAGGTGGATGATCCTATAGTCACTGACCGAGGAAGCACATGTTGAAGAGAGGAAATTTTACAAAATTTCCTTCTGAAAATGGGATGTAATGACACTCTGATGTTTGTTATAATTCGAGGAAAGATCAAAGAGGTGGCCCTCCTTTTCCGGTAGTCTCCACTCATTATCCTACTTTCTTTCCGGAAGAGTCACATTCCAATTCATCAATCATCATGAAGCTCTCGCTGGTATCAATTTTTGCTCTTCTGTCAACCACGTTTGCTCTTCCAGTCGAAAATGTCGAGCGAGATGTACCAATTGAAGAAAGAGCTGCAGCGCCAACAGTAACAATTGTATCACCAGCAGCTACAATCATTGGAGGTGCTGGCTTAACTGTCGAAACCTTTGCTGGTGTTCCATTTGCCAAACCTCCCGTTGGTGCACTTCGACTTAAACCACCTCAACCCATCACCTCTGCGTTGGGCACAATTAAAGCAACAGCCCAAGCAGCTTCTTGTCCTCAATTCTTCTTTAGCACTACTATTAATGATGCAATTCCTACATCTGCATTAGGTCTTCTCCTTAATACACCAGTCTTCCAACAAGTTCTCAATGCCGGAGAAGATTGTTTGTATCTAAATATTCAAAGACCAGTTGGTACAACTGCTTCATCTAAATTACCAGTCTTATTTTGGATTTTTGGAGGAGGATTTGAATTGGGAGGAACAGGGATGTATGATGGATCTTCATGGGTAGCGGAAAGTATTGCCGAGGGCAAACCGATCATTTTTGTTCAAGTTGCTTATAGGGTTGGTGGATTTGGATTTTTGCCTGGAGCGGAGATCTTGGCGGATGGTAGTGCGAATTTGGGATTGTTAGATCAGAGATTAGGGTTGCAATGGTATGTTGTTCTGTTCAAGAGTCTTGCAGCCATACTAACGAAGTTTTCAAAGGGTCGCTGACAATATTGCTTCTTTCGGTGGTGATCCATCCAAGGTAACTATCTGGGGAGAGTCAGCTGGTGCAATCTCAGTCTTTGACCAAATGGCTTTATATGGTGGTGACAACACATACAAAGGCAAATCTTTATTCCGTGGAGCCATTATGAATTCAGGAAGTATAGTCCCAGCAGACCCAGTCGATTGTCCAAAGGGACAAATCATCTACGATAATGTCGTAGCCTCAGCAGGATGTTCAGCCGCAGCCAATACTTTAAGTTGCTTACGAGGCGTACCCTATTCCACTCTTCTCAACGCGACCAACTCTGTTCCTGGTCTGCTTAGCTATTCGTCTATCGCACTATCTTATCTTCCTCGTCCAGATGGTACCGCTCTCACCAAATCCCCTGATCTTCTCCTCGCATCAGGAAACTGGGCAAAGGTCCCCTTTATAATTGGCGATCAAGAGGATGAAGGAACAATATTTGCTCTTTTCCAGAGTAACATTTCCACAACCGCTCAACTCACCACTTATTTCTCGGATTTCTTTTTCCACAACGCACCTACCTCCGTTCTCACAGGGCTTCTCAACACGTATCCCAATGACTTGATCTCCGGTTCCCCTTTCCGAACCCTCTTGTTGAACAATTGGTATCCCCAATTCAAACGTCTAGCCGCCATTCTCGGTGATCTTACATTTACCCTCACCCGTCGTATATTCCTCCAAACCGCACTAAAAGTCGCACCAACCGTTCCCTCCTGGTCCTATCTCTCGTCCTATGATTACGGAACCCCTGTTCTCGGCACCTTCCACGGCTCAGATATCCTACAGGTCTTCAACGGTATCAAACCAAACTATGCGGCTCGTGCTAGCAAAGCATATTATTTGAGTTTTGTAAATACTCTGAACCCGAATAATGGGACGAGCAGTGCATATGCGAATTGGCCGCAATATAGCAATGGAGCACAGTTGTTGAATTTGTATGCGGATTTTGGGGGGTTTATAAGTGATAATTTCAGGAGTACGAGCTTCAACTATATAGTGGCTAATTTGGCAAGCTTTTATATTTGAGCGGGTGATGAATGAATTGATGAGGACGAATTGGTACAGGATTTTGGGTGGAGTTAAAATTCGAGAGAAAGAAATGAGAGAGATATGAGTGACGAGCAAGAAAAGCATAGTTCGGTTTTGTTCAATAATATTAAACTATCTAACTCCACATAATGTTGAAACTTTCTCTTAAAGCCGCTGAATTTTATAGCAAGTAAAGTAAATTACTCGTCGCAATACCACTCATCTAATAGGTATGCAACGAGAAATGCTCTCAGGGAATACGAGTGAAGCTTATGAAGAACAGAGGGGCAATGAAATCTGTTTATCAGCTAGAGGGTTATTTTTCTTGGTTCTATCAATCATCATGCGCAATCACTCATACTTTATATCGTATTAAATGAGAAGCTCTAGATCTTATATAACGACGGGCTCAGAATTAAGTAAACAAAGATTCCTACATGTGAGATTGCATAAATAGTCCGTCAAAAATCAGAGCTAAGAACATGACGTAACTCGCTTGCGAGAACCAGAGAAATTTTTGTCCTTGTAGGTCTTGGATTCTTAATATGAAGAATGTGAATGATTGGAGTGACTCTAAGCTTGACAGCATGTGATGGCTACGTTTGGATATTGAGTCCAAAGCAGAGATGTAGTACTGTCGTCCGGAAGGTGATCTGATCTAAAGGGGATGTATAACGCCACATACATTTCACGTGATAGCTAACCGTATAACATCCACTCATATATTGTTCAACTTCGTCTTGCGACACTCTCGATAATTTCTTTCAGAAAAGAAAAAAAAGTTCGAACTTTATTTGATCCCATAATGACCGTCGCAACACCCCTCACTCATCCCCTCCTCCTCTTCTTTGCCAACATCCTCCTCACCAACCTGACTGCAGTTCATACCACAACTCGCACCGCACGACTTCTAGCTTTTGCCTTGAGCGTATTGCTCTCTTACATCGCACTATCAAACTGGAATGAACATGTCAATACAACAGGATGGGCAGGTCGCTTTCTCGCCAGTGGTTCTTTTACTATGCCCAATGTTATATTCGATCGATTCATTATTCGAAACTGGCAATATGGAAAAGACGACTTGAGACGAAAGAGCATCGGAAAGGAAAATCAAAAGGAAGAAAAGAAACAAACAAAATCCGAATGGGGACAAGAGCTGGTCGGAAATACTAGATATATCGGCACTTCGCTGGAGGTCTCCAATGTTCCATTCTTCAATGCAAAGGATCCTATTCTTGGCCCGACTAGATGGAGATTCTGTTTTCATCACGCTGCTATAATTGTCGCTTTGTATTTTTTAAATACGCTTGCTATTGATGGACAACTAAATGTGAATCAGAAATGGATGGGCGATGAATATATTCCATGGTTTGGAATGATGTTTGGTGACGGTATCCCGGATTTACGAGACCAGATTTTTACGAGAGTCACCATCAGTCTTCTTTACTGGGTGTGCCAGTTTTGCTATCTTCAGTTTTTCTTCTCGGTGGCTGCGTTATTGGATGTTGGACTTGGTGGTGGAGAAGTGAGGCGGTGGAGACCTTTCTTTGGAGAAGCAAAACATGCGTATACGATTAGAGGACTCTGGAGGTAAGTCATGTTTTCGTTTTCAATTTCTATTCATGAAGCCACGAGACTGAAAAGATCAACTAATACTCATGCAGCAAATCTTGGCACCAAAATATCCAACTCACAATCAAAGGCCCCGCCGAATTTATCACCCACAACATCCTCCACGTTCCTCGTTCCACCCTCATCGCTCGCTACCTCAAGGTACTCATTACATTTGCAGTCTCAGGCGCGACACATGTGGCCGCAGATTATGGAAGTGGTATCTACCCTGCACAATCCGGTGCAATGTTATTTTTCTGTGCACAAGCTCTTGGTATCATGATTGAAGATGGGGTTCAAGAAATTTGGAGACTTATGGGCGGAAAGAAGAACACTTTGTTGGGGAAGATAATTGGTTTGATTTGGGTATTGGTGTTCATATGTTGGTCTAGTCCCGTCTGGGCTTATCCTTTTGCAAGGACTATGCGCAGGGAAGATATGATACTGACTTTTGGAGCCTTGAAGCCTTTGTTGGTGGGACTTAAGTTCTGGTGATGGGTTGAGGTGTTAGGTGGTGGATACACCTGAGTTAGAATTAGAGATGGTAGCTGTAGTGGCCAGTGAGGCATATAGTTCGCGGGTTGCCATTGAGGCAATCATAGAGTCATTGCCAAGAACAATCAGAGAATCGTTTAAAACTTCACCTTAAGGATAATAAAGATGTGCAGGATACTGTTAACGTACGTATCGCAGTTCTGGGCTAATGACAATCCACAAATAGATGGAATGATTATCAAGGATAAGATTAGATGTGGTATAACAACATATTATGCAGAGATAATATTTCCGAACTTTGAATGCCTCTTTCACTGTCATTGGCATATCCATTCATTGTCTGTATTCCATGTCTGTTCACTGGCCTCTCCCACCCACTTAATCAACGACCACCGGGATCTTCTCACGAAATATCTCAAGAAATTTTGGAACGAAACTGCGTTCTTGAATAAGATGTATTTGCTTCAAACATAGAATGTTCCATTTCCTGTCTTCTTTTACTGTATCCCTATATGAGGGTTGAACTGGGTCCACGATTCCCAACTTTATACTCATTGCTGCTGATTACTCCGACTCGCTAAATCTAGGATTTGGTTTATTTCTCGTATTCCAGACGTCTCATGATTGATTGAATGTCAAAATCAGACCTCGGGAAAGAAACGTTCGATGTTTCTATCGCAAGGATATAAAAGACCACCGACTGAATTAACAGCTCCGTAAAAGAACGTAGACCGTGCGAGCCGTGAGTGAGGTGCCGACAACTTTTGAGATCTGACATGCTGGTACCATTAGAGAGTTTCTTATAATCAAGGTGGAAAAATTGGAGGAATCGTCACACGGCGCTTATTACTGGATTTTTTGCTGTTGAATATTTTCTCGCTATCTTTTCTAGTTTCATTGCCCATTGAATAGTACTAAGAGGCTGCCCAACATTAGATCCTAGGCAATTAACAGAGAGGATTGTTGATATAATAACTAAAATATCTTGTTACCATAACCATCTGCTTCCTCAATGTAGTTTCCAATATCTCTGACCAAAATAGCTCACGAATTAACAGAAGTTTTTATATCTGTAGCTCTGGATTTTGATTTGGCCTAACGACGTGGAAATTAACCTCTACCGTGATCTGTACAAGTTCTTTACTATTTCAGTTGAAATTCTCAAAGTCACTTGAATCATATATTCAAAAGTTATAGGAATGATTATCCGGATCTGAAATGTCACTGAAGGGAAAGCTCTAATTTCTTTCATCAACAACTCAACTGCTTTTTCTACTGCCCAGATGCTTAGCCTATAGTGGAACCTCAAATTTTTACTTTCAAATGGTTTTCTTCCCTTTCAAGGTTGTCTTAATCGTTGTCAGAGAAAAGTCAGATGACTCTGGTTATTCTTGAATCCACCACCTGTTGATCGAGTGAGCCATCTTTCCAAGCAAATTTACCTTACTAGTTTCCGTAAACCTCACAGAAGCGCATCCCACCCTAATTCCTATCGCCGTTCACTATGATTACTTGATTAAGACCTTTGAGTTCAAATTCTCCATTGAAGCAAAGCATTATATACACTAATCCTAGGTATTTGTTTTGATAAAGCTGGGAAATTGAGAGAAAGGTCGAATCAAGACAAGCGCATCATCTGAAAATTACGTATCCCTCCGATTTTCTCAATATGAACTCGGTGGAAATTAGAATAGGAAACTAGTTCTATAAATTGATAGGAGCCGTAGGCTGAATTTGAAGTAGTAGAGAGAAATTGGAGAGACGACTATGAGTAGTCCTGTGAAGGAATTATTGAGATTCATTTGACAGGGAATGTTCCAAGTGCTGCGAGAGACAATTTTTCATTCGATCAGAGAATATAACAATAGACAGACATTTTCACTGTCGTCTTCTTTTTCACTTATCGTTGACTATCGAGCCTCGCAATTTATCTCTCTCTTCTAGTGATACACTTACTACTATTACTCAGGTGTGTTTTTCTTTCATTTCAAATTTGACTGCTGGAGGTTCCGTTTTTCCTGAAGAACTCGAAGGATCTTCAAACGTCTTGACGATAGCCCCAAGTCTCATAGTCTGGCCAATGGCACTGTTTCGTTCATTAACAGCTTTCCCTTTCTTGACTTGCTACACATTTGATTGCAGAATTCATTTCCACTCTGCCCACAACTTTTTATCATACTTACCGAGAAGAATGGAAAAAGGGGAGAATGACCGGAATTTTTGTAAATATAATAAGAAAGAGTAATTCAGCGTGGCATTTCCTTACAACCAATGAGAGTCAACCTTTTATGCTAGTGGTTATGAGATTTTGATCATTAAACCTCTATAAAAAGTATTTCATCTCCTGGTACGGATCTGTATACCTTGGGTTGCACAATTCCATTCCAAAAATACAAGCTTTGATAACTTGACTCATCTAGATTGGCGCGGTAGAGAATATAATCTAATTCGGTGTCAGCATGTGTCATCTTGCTGTCACTCTTCGTGAGGTTTTGTGGCTAGTCCTGTGGATATTTTGTCGATTATCATCACTGTCACTTAGCAATTCATCTGAATTTCTCATCTAAAATCTACACTTCTATGCCCCCATTGCTGTCTTATGGATTTAGATTTTCTGGACATAGACTTACATACACCACCATTCGTTCAAAAATTCCATGTCGCTGGTAAATTGATCGGTCAATCGAAATTGAGGATATAATGATTCTTCAGCTTGAATTTATACTACCGTCTTGAGACTTGAAAATACCTGGTAAAATCTCTGGTTATATAATATCCATTCTTCTAAATTTCACCTTCGCTGTGGAAGCAATCAAAGGGCAAGCTTGAAGTTAATCCATCCTGAGTAATTAACTACTAGGGCTTATATAAAAGTTGCCCTTTTGAAATAATTAAAAGTCAAGCGTGACGCAAAAGGTTAATATTCAAATCGATGGAATTAAAACAGTAAATATACCCCGAGGCCTTGGTATACTCTAATGCTGTGTGACAACGTCAAAATATAGGGTAGGGTTAGGAAAGATATTCATCAATCGATGATATTTGGATGGCAGCGGTAATTATAGTGACGAGATAGTGATTACGATTAGTTACTATGAGATAATAAACAGTGCCATGAGTGAATTTCATCGAAGATATGATTTGTAGTAATGCGAGATAAGCTTCAGAACTCAACTTTGAAATGGATTCAACAGCATATCATCTTGTAGCTCTTGTTCTTTGACTTTGATTAATTCTGAATTTCTCATTTTGTTCGTAGGGCTAACATTTATATATGTTTATCTTTGATATCTAATTATTCAAATGACTATACCCAAGACAATTTTTGTTGAATTCACACATCGGGAAATGTAACGTATGGCCCAACTAGCCCCTCTCAACCTCAATTCCTATTCATTAACCCCGTTACCCTACCAGTAAATACTCGTTCTCACTCTTATATACATAATCCAGAAGGAAGATACAAATCAAAGGGAATACTTTCTACAAAATTAATAAATCATTGAGGTATAAAAAGGTCTTTTCTTTTATCATTCTTTCAAAACAATACAACCAACGCGTTACGCCCGATTCTATCAATGTAAGCAATTTTCTACTTCACAACGAAATATATCAAAAAATCAGTAACTCCACCTGTGGTCTACCAGCTCATACAAAAAAACTTTCACTTGTTTTCCAAAAATTCATCTTCAAAATAAGGTGTCCTACCAACTTTTCTAATATTTCGACAGTAAAAATGCTTGCGGCTTACTTAGCGAGCGATGATTAAAGGGGCAGAGTAAAGATTTCGGCAACCATAAATCTGTCCAATTACTGTTATAACCACCGTCACTAAGACGGAAGAAATATCCCCAATTTCTACAATGACAAGAACTGGTATAATACACGCTTCAACTTCTCTTCCCCCATGGTAATGAGAATCGAAATCTACTTACAAACAAACTTAGAGATACCATCGCGATGACTTTTGCTTCGATATAAATGGACTAGAGATAGCAACTATATCCAGTAGAACACAAAGAGAGTTTATAATCCGACTTCGTAATAAATAGATGATGGAACTAAATACATACATACAAACTTCAAAGAAAAGCTCACCACTTTCATTGTGAATTCTACATTCTGAGATTTACTCATTACCTTCTAGTACCTATGTAATCTTACGATGATTAGAAGATAATTCAGAGACTTGTATAAATATCCTCACTCGTACCAGCTAAACCAGGTAAAAATATTAATAAAGTCAACCGGGATTAATCACTCATGGGATTAAGATATAGTTGTTAATCAGGAACATCCTCATCTCTGTTCTGGCGAGATCTGATATTGAAGAATGGCCATTGAAGAGTAATAATGTATTACATCGCGACGATGAATAAGTAATACCTAGCTGGAGTATCTAAATTGTTCTGAATGAGAATAGTCAAACGATTAAAAAACAACAAGCTAAACCAATAACAGCGACACAATCCGATATATATCTCTCCCTCTCTCCCTCCCTCCCTCTCCCATCAAATTTCTCTTCCCTCACCTTCTTCCCATTCCCATACAGACCTCGGGGAAGCATTTCTCAATCTCTCAGTTCTCGAGAAAAATAATAAACAAAAATGAAGAATTTACAAAAATCTTTAATAAATTTCCTTCCACTGGAGGAAATCGCTAAGAATACAAACCGTAGTATCAATAACAAAGTATTTATACTTATACCCCCTTCACCTCACTCTACCCCTCAAGAACTTCTCCCCCTCCAATATACAAACTATGCCCAATAACAAAAACCTCCTATTTACTCAAAATCTTCACATCCATCACCCATCCCATCCCATCCCATCACCAGAAATTTTCCCCTCTCCATCCCATACAACCACAATCTATTACGCAAGAAGCAGGCCTCAAAACTAAAACTCGCGGTACGAATCTCCCATGCTAAATCTCTCACACGAGAGATCAGATCAGATATCTCAAGAGTCGAGATAAGAGTTCTGGAACCTACTTACCGCACCCCTGTAACAAATGTAACAAAATCCCTACAAAATTCATATTTTTCTATATAAACTAAAATACTATATAATTAATTAAATTTTTGATATTAAATTATTAAAACTTTTTAGTAAATAATATAAATCATTCTTTAAATATAAAAATTTCTAATTTATTTTTAGATATTTTTATTAAAAATTATATAAGTTTTTAATTGAAAAAGTTCAGAATTTTTAACTTGTAATGCTTTTTTTTATACAAAATAAGCGAATTTTCGAATTTTTTCGAATTTTCAATTTTAACTCTTTAAAAATATTATTATAAAAATAGTTAAAAATAAACCACAATATATTTTTTTAAATAATTTAAATAATTCTTAATCTTTCTATAATATTATATTCAATTTTATCTTATATAATTATAAATAAACCAGAGTATAAAAAGCTAAATAATTGTATATTTTTGCTGAAAAAGCGTTATATATACGGTGAGTAGGTTTCAGAACTCTTACATATAGATCATCAGATACCTATACTATAAATCTATTTTTATTATTCACAAAGGAATTCCTTTATAATGATAATAATGATAACGATACTAGGTTTTTTTTAGGATAATAAAAATGAAAAGGAATGTATATATGCATACATTATATCAAGAATCACCATTGACCCCTCTCTCCCTCTCTCCCTCTCTCCCTCTCTCCCTCTCTCCCTCTCTCCCTCTCTCCCTCTCTCCCTCTCTCCCTCTCTCCCTCTCTCCCTCTCTCCAGATCCCTCCCCCATCTCCTCCATCTAAAACTCAAAATCCATCAAACTTCCCACCACACCACACTCCCACCAGTCAGTCTCAATTAATCGCCGAGAAAGACACAAAATAAAATTTTCATACCCACCCTCTTTATCTACTCTACATGACAAAGAATACATGTATATACATCTATCTAATCTTCAATTCAAGTCTTCACTTTGAAATATTCAATGTAATATAGAATCCGATATACATGTATGTGTATGAATGTCAAAATTTATGAATGAATAGTAGTACATGACACATGTATGATTGATTGCAAGGTAGGTAGCTATTATCAACTTCTCAAACGTATTTTATGGTATCGTGATTAAGCTCCTCCTCTCCTCCTCCTTTCCCTCTAGCTACCCCATTCTAAAATCCACAACATGTGCGCATTACAAGTACATCATTGCCATACCCTGCATTGATCAAATTAAAATAAAATAATATCCCAAAAACGCCGAGCCACGCTGATGCAACCTTTCATCCACCTAATAAATATACAATTCCATATGGTTTTCCTGGCGCAAGCCTTATCCATGTATGCCTATCGTGTACAGTTTATTTGTTTTTCGTTTCGAATTTTCCATCCACTTGACTCGTGAATGGATTCCACTTCCATCTCATCATTCAACCTTCAATCGAATGCCCCTTTTCCGGACACACAACTCAAAGCACTCGTCTCATCAACACTCAACCTAAGCAGCCCATTCCACAACCTCCAAGGCACACATAACCAGAATCAATGTACTTGGCAAAATCCAAATAACATAACTTTGGAAAAGTAATTTACTCATCACTCCCTCATAAACCCCATTGATTTGACAAATCTGCGCCAATTGCAAAGCACTAGGTGCACCTGTCAACAAGAAGCAGACGATGACGAAAATTGGATCATCCAATATGCTAACTGGAACATATTTTGCTGTTAAAGCTAAAAGTGGTGCCATGATCAATGTTGGAAGTAACATTCTGGAGATCAAGGAAGCGATGAGAAGTTTTGTGCCAATTTGATTCTCTTCTGAGTTTTCGTCGAGAACATGTTGAGGAAGTGTATTTCTAGCAAGGTTCGCACCGAGGACGACTAAGATGAGGGGAACGGCGACACCTCCTGATTGAGAGACGGCTCGTGTAACGGAGTTGGCGATGAAAGATCCCTCAGCGAAGAAAAGGTGTTGAAGTTTTGGAATAGATGCGACAATCACAGCGAGAAGCATAGCCCAGAGGGGGGGATTCATGAATTCCCAAAGACCATTTAAAAATCTGTTGGTAGAATTTGAAACTTTCGTGACGAGTCCTTGAGCAGGAGTTGGTAAAGCATGATAGGTATGATGAGATGCTTTAGCGACGGTTCGTTTAGTATGGAATTTTGCCCTAGGGATCCAACCTCGAATTCCATCTGGAATTTCTAATTCCTCTTCGGATGGTGGTGTTCGAATACTTGGGAATGAAGTTATATCATTATTGTTGCCTGGTAAGTGATTTCCATTCGTAGGTGTGGCCATGATACCAGGTAATTTTGCAGGTTCTTCTTCATCGGAATTGTCATGTAAAGCGTGGGTAACTGGTGTTCTGCCACCGAAATTGGAAGAATTCGAGGACGATTCACCATTATCATCATTATCTTCTTCGCCATCCAATCCAGGGATTAGAACAGGTTCATCTCTGTATCGTCCTTCTTCTTCATCCTTATAGGTTTCGGGTGGTGCAAGTAAAACATGATAACCCCAACTCCAACGAACTAGTTGACCTAATTGTTGAAAGATGAGAAGGTATAGGATACCTCTTGCGCCAACTTCATCGTCGTTATCTCCAGGTATTTTGTCCCAATGTAAACCTTTTAATGTTTGCGACAATGAAATGACGAGGGAAATGGGTAAAGAGTTTGAATTTCCGAATACCTATTAAGACTATTAGCACTTTTATCAATCGAACGGCCGAAGGAACAATAACATACACCCATCGCAGTAACAAAGTTGGCCGGTCTCTTTCCAAACCCAAATGCCTTACCAACCCCTACCGAAACTAGATATGAGACCAATGTTTGCACGATGAAGATAACTGGGATGACTGCAAGTTCGACCAATTTATCTGCCGTCAATTGAGATGCCAATTTGGTGAAGACTATCCAATATATTAGCCTTTATCCATATTTCTCCAGGTCCCAAGGTACCTACTCAAACAAGGTGTGAAGAGCGCAACATTGAGATTTGCAACAAACTTCTGTTTGTCTGCATCGAACATTCCTTGTCTTGCCACGATATAACCGGGTAAACTAACACATACGACTTCCATGACGGCTTCGAAGACTAATAGTATAAGATGACCAAGGGCAGGATGTGAAGAATGGTCATTTGCCATAGTGCCGAACGCGACATCTGTTAGGGATCGTGTTGAGATAGAAGATGCGCCGACATCGTTATTGGTAGCTAGATTGGCCAGTCGAAAGGAAGTAGGTGATGTGAATAATCCCATGATGATTTTAACGGGATCGAACGATCAAACCAATGTCTGCGATAGAAATTGGACGAAGTATGTGAGGTTGTTGATAATCGAGGTACTTTCGTCCTCTTCGACAATTGAGGTTTCAAACAATCTTTGAAGAAGTTTGATAATGTTTTTCGTATGTTTGAATTAAGTTTGTGAGATTGTTCGGCGTGAATGGAAGACAATCAAATATATTGATGAAGTGAAGCGCAATCAGCTTCTCTATTTTACTCCTTTCTTCTTCTTCTTCTTCTTCTTCTCCTTCTTTCTTTTCTCCCTCAAGCTATTGAATGAGAAATATTGAGCGACGGCGGCTGTGTAACGACTGGGCAAACCTGACGTGGTTTTAGCTTTTCTTGGGCCGGACCTGAATTTTGCAAATGCGATAAGGCCAAGGATGGTATGGTGGAATAAGTAGCTAGACTGCGTCCTGTACCGTACCTTGGTAAATGATTACTTACGGAAGATGTGGATGTTGATCCGTTCTCAGCCATTCAATTTTTGGACCAAGTCTGAGCACGTCGCCGCGTGGACAAATAACATTGACGAATGAAAGGGCGATGATGATGACAAGGAATATGAATAAGTAAAGTGCTTGTGCTTATGCTTATGCTTATGACGGGACTGGGTATGTATATGATGATCAGACGGTTTGATATTGAGAGTTGGTGAGAAGTTCTTGAGTTCTTGAGTTCTTGAGTTCTTGAGTTCTTGAGTTCTTGAGTTCTTGAGTTCTCGAGTTCTCGAGTTCTCGAGTTCTTGAGTTCTTGAGTTCTTGAGTTCTCGAGTTCTCGAGTTCTCGAGTTACATTGAGTTGAGGAATTTGATATTGAGAAGTAGGTATGGTCTGGTATGACAACAACAAATAAGGCAGCAAACACTTGAACGTAAGAGTCAGTGTGAGTGGAAGAGCACGAGGGCCAAACAAAGAGGTTGACTGGAATTATCAAGAAGTTGATTGAGGCGGAAGATATTCTTGGAATTGAATCCAGTTATGATTGGTTGAAACGTGATGTTGTGATATGATAAAGAGATAAAAAGGAGCCAATTGATGGGAGAGTAGGAATCAATATCGTCAATTGAGTGAACTGAAGTGAATTGGATTGAAGATTATGGCAAGATTACATTCCAATACTCATAATTGTCGAGTCCTTGCCAACTCTCATATATACTCCAACTCCCTCCTCGTTCACGATATACAATAAGGCTTCATGCAGGTGCGGTACATTGATCACAATAATATTTCTACCCACTACCTCTCGGTATTCGGCCAAGACGATAATACTACCTCGATGTTGTATCCAAAGGATTTTTCATTATCGTCCCTCGGTATCTATTATATAAAGAAAATCTATTCACATCTTCTGGTGCTTCTCATTGACATATACTTTGGTACATTGACCATTGAGATGTGAATATCTGGAAATGCATGTCACAAATGGTATCGAGGTATGTGATGTATAACAAAAGAAGAGAAATACTTCATATCATCCTTCTTGGTGTGTAACTTTGTGATGCTTGGTGATGCTTGGTGCTGCTTGAGATGATGAAATTGTTGGCTTGAATGATTTCAAATTCATGGAAATAGGAGAGGAGAGGTACTAGGTATCCTTCGTACATTCGATATACCATTCAAATCCACTCAATTCAGCCCAGCTCGTAGTCTCTTCGCCTCTCTTCGCTCTTCTCCGTATATACTTCAACTGTCATATCCACTGTCCATTGCTCACTGTCCATATCGCCATCAATCATATCCACTGTCCATTGTTCACTGTCCATATCGCCATCAGAATCAATCCAACTTGTGTATGGTCGCTCACCTGGGCACCTGCATTGATAACAAGCGATACCCAGCCACTACTCATACCCAGCCACTATTTACATCAAGCCACAGTGCCACCGTGCCACAATAATGACGATGAAATCTTTCCCAAGTTTCAAACCTCACCTGGGCACTCACTCACTGCCAAAACTCCACAATTTCTTGGCTTTCCTTGTTTATAAATGAATGACTGACGTTAACTTGCATGAAGAACCGAAAGAGAAATGTCAAAGCATCCAATTCAATCATATCCAGTCTTACCCACTCGACTCGAGCCACTCTATAAGTTGGCATGATTCCAATCATGAAGAAGCTGGAGACATCCCAAATGGTAAAAAGATGCTGCAAGGGAAAGATGTTGGTAAAAGCCGACATGCCTACCTAGCTCCTAGCTGGAGATTCCAGGAAATATAACGATGGGACGGGAAGGAAAGTACAACAAACCATGTGGAAGGAGTATCAAGGCTGGTGCCCTATTTTTTATGAAACCAAGAATGCATACCTAGCTGGAGGTAACCGTCGCCACGGAGAGACCTATCAAATCATATATCAAATCATCGATCCAAATTTGAGTTTGAGGTTAGAGAATTGGGGGATGCAATAGGGAAGAGTATAACTTTTGACAACTTGGACCGGACCCTTCATCCCGACTGTGCTTTCTCTATGGTGAAAAGTTAATAAATATAGTCAGGCGTATGTTTATGGATGCATTAGTACTAATGGATGGTCTACCGACACCGCAGCCTCAGCCTCACTCCCTTTGGATTGATAGGGGAAGTTGAGTTCCTGGGAAGTGAAAGTGGAAGTGGATGAGAATGAGAATGAGAATGAGGATGAGGATGAAGATAATTATGCTAAGGCGGCTTATACCGTCAATACCTCCTTGGTATCTCCTAACTTGACTCGTTTACCATACCTACTAGTATCTAATTGCAAAACTTGCCAAACTTGACATTACCATCAGAGAACCGGCACTTGGGTACCTATTGGAGTTGAATGTTTGGGAAATGATATCAATAGTATCAAGATCCCAGTCGATACAACCTACACACTATACATATTATACATCCATATTATACATCCATATTATCATCATTCGTAGATGTCTTATCGAGCAGAATTACAACGGGACGTGTTTTTCCTTTTCTTCAACCACGTCATCCAGGGTCTAATGTCCCAAAGTAGTCATTGTACAGTAAATATATCCATCCAGGAAGGGTAAAGAAGAGGTGAAGAAAAGTACGTAGATGTCCACGGGTAGGTACGTATATCACTCCATTGATCACAACGTCAAAGGGTTTGGTACCGTATGTTTACGTAGATAGTCATACATATCGTAAGTTGATCTACATCCAATTCATGGTTCGAATCATACCAATTTTTCTTCATACTCCATACCTCATACTCCATAGTCCATGCATAGTCCATACAAATGGGACAAATCTGATCAATCTCCATCTCCAAAGCAATTGATCCACGAACCAAAGAGTTTGGACAATTTCTTTCGTATGTGGCTTGACTTGAATTCAAGATTGATAGTGGGGTGGGTGGATGGGTGAGCTCCGAGATGCCCCCCGGTTTATGAGGATGGAGATTTGAAGATTGGATGGAGATTGGGGATTGGAGAACATGAGGGACTAGAGTTGCGAAATGAGAAAATTGAGAAAAAAATTGAGAAAATGTGATTCAATTGTGATCCAGTGAAAGATCCATCTCCTCGCTCATCTGAACCAATCAAATTGATGAATCCTTTCATGCGTATTGAATAGTACTGGTACAGTAATAAGTAGTAAGTAACTATTACTCTTGCAGGTGAAGATAGCTTCACTCCAGCCGTACCAGTATACTCCGTACTCCGTGGGTACTAAGTATGGATATCACGATTCACACTCTGATTCTCCCACCCCCTTGAATTTTATACTCCCCCCCCTCATCAATGCCCCTCCATCAGATCGATTTTCTTCCTTCACTCTCGGATTCAACGTCATCGTGCTTCAGATGCTCCCCATTCTGTCATTTGGATCATTTATCATGTATCATTTATCGTCTTTCATTCGATACAGCAATGTAATGGATGGATTTTATGTGTTCTGTATATAGGATTTAGTCTTTACGATGTGAAATAAGATAGATAAATAAATAAATGCCTATACATATAAATACCTAGGTGTTAGTATAGATGTAGATATAGATATCTACTAGGTAGAGTAGATGTAGGTATGGACAGACATAGATATAATTACAAATGTAAATACAAATACAAATACATATACATATAAAGTACATCTAACCTAAATTCAGATCGAAATCTATAATATCTAGATCTATAGAAGAAATATCGATATTAACATTTACAGGTATAGGTATCAAGTCAAAACAAATAAAATAATATACATCATCAACTTGAGATCGAAAGCAAAAACTTCATTTCGTTGAAAATGATTTAAAAGATAGATGGGTGTTAGTACTCAGGTAAATAATATATAGTAATTAATTGTCTTTCATTATGATATTTATATTATTTATATTATTGTCCTTGTTTTACCAGTACTAACTATATCAGCAATTGTAAGGATTGATGGTTACGGATCACCTACCACTTACGTTCTTACGTTCTCCCATTGATTGCTAACTGACATCAAGATCTTTTTGATTTTGAATGCTTTTTGGGGACACCCACCATAACCAGAATCTCTTTCACCAACTTCCCACCTCGATCCCATACAATCACACACATACCATGGATTTGATAGTCGCATCAAGATCCTAAATAAATATCTGGGAATTCCGTGAAAACTTCTCAATTCAATCTCTATTACTACGACTACCCACCTACTCTCCTACTACTCTCCTACTACTCTCACCCTACTTCCACTACTCTCACTACCTCCACCACTTCCACCACTCCCACCACTTCCACTACTTCCACCACTCCCACCACTCCTACCACTCCCACCACCACTTCTACTTGTCGTAAATATCATTTCCCCTCATTATTAATCAAAGCTTCGTCCCGTCCCATTAAAGAACCTAGACCTCCAGTCTCCAATCCTTCTTTTTGCCAACTATTATAAACCACTCATTCGGCTCGACACATCGGGAGTGAAAGATTCGAAGAGAAAGGCAGAGAAAGGAAGAAAAGGAGCAGACTAAGAAGAAGAAAAAACCACCAGGAAAAAAAAGCCAAGTTAGAAACGGCGCCCCCAGCATCTTAAGCTTCGACCCGCCACGACCAAAGTTCAAATCAGTCGATAGCTTCATTTCTTCGTCTCGAATTGCCCCAAATATCCTTTCCGCCAAAGGTCAAGACCCAGATTCTTTCGCAGACCACTATACCAACTTGTGGCTCAACGACTCCATTATCTCCTAAGGATAATCTAAACACCTAAACACCCAAACAAAGTTCACACGAGTGAAAATCAGAAGAACTACTAGTAGATATTTGGTCTAGGTATATCTAGCATATGCTCTAGACCAGCCTTCCCTCTTCTTGATCGGAATATTTCCAGTTCATCAAAGTACCGATCATCCTGAATCTCCCTACGGCAATTGTGAAGCCAAAATACATTTCACCAGTGACCGTTCTTCAGTCTTGACCAGTTTGATTCATTAAGAAGGTGAGGCCTCCAATCTCTACTCTTCAATCCAAAATATACTTTTGCCAAGAGAGATATCAATCACTTCATGTACTCACTAATCCTTTTCACGCCAGAAAGATTGACAATAACATTCGATTCTTACCCCACCGCTCATAATATCTCTCGAATGCGAACAATTCTCTTATCAGCATAATGGCAGATAATCCTCAACTAGATACGATGGGTGCTCCGGGCGATTCAACCGATTTTGCTTTTAAAGATACCCCTCCTCAAGAAAAGCCTACCGATGATCAAACGAACGAAGCTCCTACATCACCTAGTTCTTCGAAACCTCCTACTATACCGTCTCTTCGACCAGCGTCAGAAAACGAGGGAATAGCCAACATGACAGCATCTTCCACACCTCTTGGTATGTTGCAGAATGCCAGAAGACCAAGACCTGGTCCATCGATACCAGGAGGAGGTAGATCCTCACAAGCGGGCAGACAACCTGGTGGTGGTTTACCTACTTCCATGGCAGAAAAAATGAAGGCATTTCACGCATCAAGACAAGGCGCACCTTCCCCACGACCACAATTACCCGCGACAATTTCATCACCGGGGGTCCCAGCTTCACCTGTCGTAGATGGATTACCTGGAGGATTACAATTACCACCCAACATGCGACCTCCACCACAAAACTTTGCTTCCGCTCCGGTAATTCCGAAAATGAAAATGGGTGGTGGTGGATTAAGCGCAAGAAGAGGTATGAAATTACCTGGTGGTCTACCTCCAGCTCCAGCTGCCACGCCAGGTTCCGAATCAAATGGTGCACCCAACACTGCAAATGGAGGTTCTATGTTTAATCAATTTGCAAAATACGTGGACACGGAGAAAGGAACCTTGAAATTTGCAGGAAAAGCAGTTATTCATGGAGGTGGTATCGATTTTGCAAACGGTACAAATTTCAATATATCTTTGGATGAGGTTGATACCTTGGAAGAATTGGGTAAAGGAAATTATGGTACTGTTTACAAAGTTCGACATGCAAGACCACGAATGCGCAAACCTGGGTTGGGTCTCGCAGGTAATAAATCATCTACAACGGATACCGATGATGCCGAAGTGAAACCCGGAGGAAATACAACGGGTGTGGTAATGGCAATGAAAGAACTTAGATTGGAACTTGACGAAGCCAAATTCGCCGCTATCATTATGGAATTGGACATCCTTCATAGATGTCTGAGTCCTTACATTATTGACTTTTACGGTGCATTCTTTCAAGAAGGAGCTGTTTACATCTGTATAGAGTTCATGGATGGAGGGTCGATTGATAAGATTTACGGTGATGGTATTCCCGAAAATGTCTTGAGGAAAATCACCTATGCGACAACTCAAGGTCTAAAAACCCTGAAAGACGAACACAACATCATCCATCGAGATGTCAAGCCAACGAACATTCTCGTAAATACCAATGGGCAGGTCAAAATTTGTGATTTTGGTGTTTCTGGGAATTTAGTCGCTAGTATCGCGAAAACGAACATTGGATGTCAATCATATATGGCACCAGAAAGAATTTCGGGTGGTGGAATTTCACAAGCTGGTGCAAATCCTGGAGGTGGAACTTATAGTGTACAAAGTGATATTTGGTCCTTGGGATTAAGTGTTATTGAGTGCGCAATGGGAAGATATCCATATCCACCAGAGACATATAAT